TAATTGTTTTCTTGGTGATCCATGTATGTTCAAGACTCTTCTCCAGCACCACAATTCAAAGGCATCAATTTTTCTTCTGTCATTCTTAGTCATTACCCAGCTCTCTGATGCATAGCAAGTAATTGGAAGACCATGCACTGCACCTTAGTCTGTAGACTGAGATTGTTGCTTCCCGGTACTCTGGAAAGGTCCCTAATAACAGATTTACCTAATGCAATTTGTCTTTTGATTTCCTGACTGCTGGTTCCAAAAGTGTTGATCGTGGAGCTGAGCAACCTGTAACTATTAACAACCTCAATCTCTTCTCCATCTATCATGGTGCTGCCAGTTGGCCCAGTGGTGAAAATCTGTGTTTTCTTGATGTAGCGCTTCAATAGGCTCACAAAAAAAAAACCAAACCAAAAAACAAAAACAAACAAAAAAACCAAAAAAAAACCCCTCTAAGAATATTTAATAATGTTCTTAAAAATGTAAAAATATTTAAGAATAATACATTTCTGCTGAAACACTGCACAAAGTTTTTATAGTCACTGTAGTGTCATCCCCTGTGTGTCAGCCGGTGTGGCCTCGCCTCCATAGTGACACAATTGAAATCCTTGCTCCTCATGCATTAACTATGGGACTTTGGCCACTTCTATTTCTCCATCTGTAAACTGGGGATCATAATATTCATTTTGTAAAACTGAAGAGTTAATGAAATGTACAAATCAAACTATAATCTTGATCAGCCATTTCAGCAAGGAGTACTGGGACCAGACATTCACACGCAGCCCGGTGGCTTAGTGGGACAAAACCTGGCAATCTGCCTCTGCAGAGATCACAGCCAAGAAAAGTCTGTGGGGTGGTTCTGCTCTGCCCAGGTGGTTGCTAGGAGTCAGGATCAACCTCAAAACACTCAACAACTCTCCACATCAACATTCTTGGGAACTTATTACAAAATCAAACTTCCAAGGCCAACCCCTAAGCCATAGCAAAGCATGTGGATGACAGCAGACTGATGGGGAGCTACTGAAATAGCCTGCTGAGTGCTCAATTCATACAACTGCAGTCACTAAAGTGTGGTATTTATCCTCCCCATTGTTCTATTGTCCAGTAAACCTTCAGGCTACCTTGTCCTATATTATTCCCAATCAGTTTAAAAATATTCACCAAGGCAGGCAGTAAATTCTAAAATTATAATCACAGTGCAGAGTTGATAGCAAGAGACACCAGCCTCTTTCCAGGTCATATGTCTCAATATCAGCCCAGAAACTTATTTTTCTTGCTCAGAAGACTCCACAGCATCCTACAAGTGTCTATGGACTGAGGCATTAACAATGCCAGTTTTTAGGCAACCCTTTGACATTGGCAGCTAGTGTGACAGCCCCCTCATATAGTACGTGTAGGTCAATCCTACTTTACAGAAGATGAAGCCAAAGACCAGGAATAAGGACACAGCACAGCCACCCTCAAAGAGCTCTGCAAAGGCACGTGACCCTGTATGTGTGCCTTGGAATGGATACCTCGACTCCCTGGAATGATGTTTTGATAAATGATATGGCAAATCTAAATAGAATGTTTTGAAATTGCTGCCTTTATTAGTAATGAAGGTGCCAGAGACATGAAAATAAATCCTTTAACAGATTTATTTCCTTTAAAAACAAGCATACTATACTGGGTTTAACCATTGCTTATCATTGCTTTACAGACATATTCAGGTGCAGTTCTGGGACAAAAGCCCAAGGAAGCTACTAAAGTGAATCTCATATGACCGAGTGAATAGTGATAAAGAGCTGTTTTGAGCCCATATTGAGCTGGCACTGAAACTAAGGACTCAATGTGTGCTGATTTTTATTATGAGGGGGAAAACCAAACAAACCAGTATTATGACAAAAGCAGACGTGTGCAAGGAAAAAAAGAAAACGGTCCTGTAATTCAACCAGAAAAAAAAAATCAGGCTTGGCATTTTTGGTGGAAGAAGGGGGCATATTATAAATAGTTTCCTCCAATCATTTACATTTTTAAACCAAATGGGAGGTTTTAACAAGGAAATCTTGGTGACGCGGTGATTAAGGGGTTGGTCACTAACTAAAGGGGCTCCATACTCTGGAGCTCTGCTTTCATAGTTCGTAGGGAGTTGTGCTGCTAATTCAAAGGGATACCTCTGCTGAGTTGAACCTACCTATTGCTCTGCAGGAGAAAGATGGGCAATCTCCTTCGGTGAGATTTACAGCTTCCAGACCCAACAGGGTCAACTCAAGAGTCAGCTCCAACGTGACAGCAGTAAGTTTTGAATTGAGATTTGCTCCACAGGAGAAAGATGAGGCAGTCAACATGAAAGATGAAACAGAAACCCCAAGGAGGAGGAGAGGGGGGAGTTCTCTTGTGTTCCACAGAGTTGAGCAACATTGACAAAATGGGGTTTAGAGCTTTAAACAAATAAAAAGTACATTGAAGAAAGTTCTTTATACTGGATATCTATTGCCTGCAGTCAATGAGTAATCAATTGTACTGACACTGGTACACATGTGACACCTTTTGGTTACACCATGCTGAGCAACTGGAAAGTGACCACAGCCCTGCCTGCTCACTCATCTTGATAATAGGTGTGGGCCCTCCTGGGGCTCCTACCCTGGTCTTGACCTAAGTCATCATTGCTCAGATGGCTCAGAGCTCTACTTCTGCAAGTTAGTAAAAGCTGGGGACTTCCAGCTCCTCCTACTTCCTATAACTGACTGCCAAGACCTGGCACATCTCTATCGCAAATGGCTCTCACTCTATCTCAAATCTGTCTTAGGTGTTTCTATTGCATTGTAAAATCCTTAAGACTGGGTGGGGCTGCCACCTTACCACTTGTCTCCACTCTCACAGTTTTAGGAAGCTCTGGTGGCCAAGTGGCAAGAAGTTGGGCTGCGATTCTGAAGGCGCGTGATTGGATTCCACCAGCTACTCCACGACAGAAAAATGGGAAATCTCCTTCTGGTCAGTTAACTGCCACTGAAAACCTGTTGGAGGGTCAGCTATGGGTAGATTTTGACTCTACTGGTACACAATCATCAACACCAGCACCACAGTTTTGGTTTTTGGGTTTTTTTTTTTGTTTTTTTTGTTTTTCCAACTGGAAGGCTATAATATCTACACAGGTACCACTACAACAATAAAATTTCAGCAAGAGAGAGAAGAGTCAATGATTTTTAAATGAGAATATTTCAATCTATATGCCAACAGGAGGCTGAACTCTGAGGAGGAATGCAGCATCCGGATCAGAGGAAGATTAATCAACAACCTGCATTATGCAGATGACACAATCTTGCTTGTTGAAACTGAGGCAGCCCTTTTGAAGCACTTGCTATAGAAGGTCAAGGATTGCAGTCTTCAATATGGATTGCACCTCAATATCAAGAAAACAAAGATTGTCACTACCAGGCCAATTGGCAGCATCATGATAGATGGAGAAGAGATTGAGTTGTTAACAATTTCAATTTGCTCAGATCCACAATCAATAATCATGGCACTAGCAGCCAGGATATCAAAAGAAGAGTTACTTTGGCAAAATCTACTGTTAGACCTCTCCAGAGTTCTAAGAAGCAATGATGTCAGTATAGAGACTAAAGTACACTTGATCAAAGCTATGGTCTTCTCAATTACTTGCTATGCATCAGAGAGCCGGACAATGACTAAGGATGACAGAAAAAGAGCTGATGCCTCTGAGTTGTGGTGCTTGAGAAGAGTGTTGAAAATACTGCCAGGAAAACAAACAGGTCTGTCATGGAGAGGATGATGCCAATTTGCTCCTTGGAAGCAAGGATTTTGAAGCTCCGTCTCACTTACTCTGGGCACATGACCAGGAGGGACCAGTCCTTGGAGAAGGACATCTTACTTAGAAGGGTGGAGGGTCAATGCTAAAGAGGAAGACCCTCAGTGAAATGGATTGACACAGTGACTGTAGCAATGGGGAACGATGTGTCAGAGACAGATTGGCTCAAGATAGGGCAGGGTTCAAAGCTGTTGTTTATAGGGTTGCTAAGAGTCATAGTTGACTCCATGGCACATAGCAACAACAACACAGAATACCAATCAGGTTAAAGCCCTATTGATACCTTACAGATGGATCATCAAGTGGACTGTAATTACTAACAGTAACGGTAAGTAATGTCCTAACTGAGCATTGATGATTCACTAAGCATCTCAAACACAGTTTCACTTAGGTTCTTCTTCGGACAGGATTCAGGGCTATATTGTTCATAGGGTCGGTGTGAGTCATACTGAACTGGACTACAACACCACCAACAAAACAATTCTTTCACTGCACACTTATCTTTCAAATGCAAACAATGTGTCCAGCTTGAGGCTGAAGTGACCAGTGTGCTCAATTTATCAGCATAGCAGTCTGAGAATTCTGTCTCTAGAGAACAGAGGAAAGCAAAGTCATCCTTCTTTCTGCATCTCCACTTTGCAATCTGATTTCACTCACAGTGTGACTCACTGTGACACAGAGAACACGAGAATTGCACTCAGATGTGGAAAGTTTAGTAACTTGTTTGTATTTCAAAACCAGCTCATCCTCTAGTCACAGCGTAGTCTCCTTATGTTGAATGCCACTTAGGTTACCATAGGAACAACTCAGTTGTTTTTTGTTTTTGTCTTTGTTTTTTTTTGCTAAATTACAGACACACTCGCCCAGGCTACTATTCAAAAAGGGCAGTTTTTAATTGGACATTGAACTGTTAGGGAAGGGTGTTATCACTTCGCTTCAGCCAAGGGAGTTTGGCCAGAGGCTTTCTGTTATTTCATTTCCATGCCCCATTTGCCTCTAGCCTGTTTCTCAGTAACCAATCACTTTGAGACAAGAAGTAAAGGGCAAAGTCGCCCGCCCGCTCTCAGTTTCCTTCGTTCTGCCGCGCATTAACCACAGAACCGACGCCGACGGAGCTTGTGTCATTCCTTTCGCCCCGCTGAGCTGATCGGTTGCCGCCGCCGCCGCCGCGAGATTCCGGAGGCGAAGACCGGAGCCGAGGACCATGGACGTGCAGATCGCTCCTCTCCGCAGCTGGGACGACTTCTTCCCCGGCTCCGACCGCTTCGCTCGCCCGGATTTCAAAGACATTTCCAAATGGAACAACCGCGTGGTGAGCAACTTGCTCTATTACCAGACCAACTACCTGGTGGTGGCTGCCATGTTGATTTCTGTCGTGGGGTAAGTGGCGTCCCTGCCGCGCGGACAGCGGGCTGGGGGCGGCGGCCGTGGGGGTGGGGCTGGCTGGGGGCAGCGGGCTGGGGGTGGTGGCCGGGGTGGGGGCGCATCGCACCCATGAGCTTGGACGTGCTCCTGGAGGGGCCGCAGCTGAGACAAGGGGGTTCAGAGTCCAGGAGATGGGGGGATGCGTCGACCTAGGACTGGAAAATTTTTCTTTTTGTACGCCATTAAGTTCTTGCTGGGGAGGTATTTGCAGCGCCTTCATCTTTTAAAATTAACAAAGTGGGGTAACACTATCTTCAGACATCAACGCTGAAGGCCCGAAGAGACTGGGCGTGGACTCTGTCTTCTAGAACGGAGGTATAAAACCTCCTCTTAAGTGGGATGGGATAGGATGGGGTAGGGTGAGTTGGTTTGGTTTTTTTCTGCCTCCGGCCACCTACACCACTTCTTACTGGAAAGCTAGGCGAGGGTGCACCTCCCTTGGCGGGGTGAAGGCTGGCCCAACTCTAGGATCCAGGTCTGCTTGCCAGTTCTTCCAGGAGAGGCCTGCGTGGTCATTTTGTCACTGCCCAGCCCGAGGGCTCACTGTAGTTAAGAAGACATTTCAGTACCTGGTTTTAAAATGCGTTATGTAAGATTTTTTGGTTTTTTTTTTTACACACCCACACACCACAGCTTCTCTTAGAAACCTTCTTGTAGTTCATTAGGAGATGCTTCTTGTAGAGTGTGGTGGTGTGTCCTAACTCTTCCAAATTATCTCCTATACATCTTTAAGGGGGAGCGGGAAGACACCTCAGATGGGTAAAAACCCACTGGAAGTGTCTGGTATTTTAATTTCAGAGCTGACTGGCAAGGCAGGAGCCTGTGAGAAACAGGAGAAATCTACACTTGGTTGGGAGACTGAAAGGTGGTTTGGTCTTGGTTTACTTTTGAGCATTCTCTCTGTGCCAGGCCCTGACCCGAGCTGCTGCCGGCTCACCAAGATGAATCAAATGTGAACTTACACTAGGGAGAGAAAAGGGTTGAAGAGTTCCAGATGTGGCCTTCTTCAGTTGCCCACTTGTGTGACCCTCATGGGAATGGCTTGGTTGTGTTCCAGGCTCAAAGCTGAACTAGAGTCTGAACTAGAGTGACAGCCATAGTTAAAGTGGTCAGATACCTGGGCCCCCTCTGAACCTCCTCTATGCTCCTTTTCTACTGTCTCAACACCAACACATTTTTTTAAAACAAAATTACCTACTGGTTCTATAACTCTTTAAATTCAATTACATTGTTGTATTCCTCTCTCCTCATAAAGAATTGAGCATCTGATGAACCAGTTATGGGGATATTTTTTTGAATTAACTCCAGAAACTTAGATAGGGCATAAAGTCTGACAGCAGGCCAGTGAAATGTACAGAAAAAAACCCCACTGCTGTTTTAGAAGAAATTCCTTTGTATTGTGAATCCTAAGGAGCAACCCTAGTAATGGTGTCAGAGGTCACTGAATCAGGCAGTGCAGGGCCATAGCCTTTCTTGTTTCCCTTTTAAAAGAAAAATTGATGTTGATTGGTGGTGACATTTTTGAAAGAACAAAATTTTAAAGTAGCTCTAAAATTATTTATTAAAAGAATATTAAAAAGAGAAAAGGTCAGTAGTAAATGTTTTTTTTAAATCACCTGTGTGTAAAATACTAATTTTTCTTTCTATGCAAATAAATAAAAATTTAATGTATAATCATCAGTTGTTTTTGTGGATCTACAAATACACCAAAAGGAAAGAATGGGAGAAAACCACAGCACCCTGCTCAGACCAACCCTGACTCATCCTGACCCTGCAGGGCAGCATAGAACCACGCTGTGGAGTTTGTCTCTAAATCTTCATGGTGATTGCTGATGTCTTTCTCCCTGGGAGGGATTGACTTGCTGTTATTTATCTCTGAGTTGAACTGACTCATAGCTGACCTTCCAGCAGGTTTTCAGTAAATAAAGCACAGGGAGATTGTTTTTCTCTCGTGGAGCCACTGGTGGATTTGAACCGTGGGCCTTAGAGTTGGCAGTGCTGCTCCTTGTTGTTGTTGTT